AAAAGCCCCGAGTACCCGCCGGCTTCCCCCGCATCCCAGGAGCGGCTTCCAACAGGAAAAAATACCGGAGCCAGCCGCCTTATCTTTCCGAGCGCAGGGCCAGCAGAACAAAGCCCGTGTGCAGGAGAGCTGGCGAGTTGCCCCAGCTGGGCCCGTGCACGATGGCAGCGGGGCAGGAGCTGGGGGATGTTTTGGGGTCTCCGTGCCTTGCTCCCCGCAGCCAGGCTGAGCTCGGCTACCTGGGAGGGAAGGTACCTCTCCTGCTCAATGTGTGGGGGGCAGAGACCAAAGGGGCTTTTATTAGCCCTGGGGTGCGATGGCTCTTGCTCAGCTATACCCGAGCATCCGTGCGGGACCGGGGCCGTGAATCCGGCGGTGGAGGTGGGTGCCAGGGGAAGGGGGTGTGGAGCTTGACCCAGGGGCTGTAAATGCCCAAAGCAGATGGTTTTGCTGAGCAGAAGAGGCCCAAACGGCTGCGAAAAACCGCCCCACCGCCACCGGCTGACCCAGCTCCGCCAGCTCCGCAGCCTCCCCAGGTTACAGCAGGGACATGGGGCCGGGCAGAGCAGGGCTCTCTAGAGAGCAAACTGCCCGGGGAGCCCTCTGCCCACGCACCACCCCCCCCCAGCCCACGGGCTCCAACACTGCATCCACCCCTGGTGTACAGATGGGGAAACTGAGGCACGTGGTTTGTCTGGTCCTGTGCTCCCAAGGGACGAGCTCCCCAGCCTCCCCCGGTGCGGGGCAGAGCTTCGCCGTAGTTCAAGGGAAGGTGGCCCCGGCACATGGTCCCATCACCCGCTGGCTTTGCCCTGGCAGAGCCAGCATGCCCAGGATGCGACCGCCCACGCCAGTGCGCCTGCACGCTCCCCGGCACAGCCCCGCTGCCAGGATCCGTGCCCAGCCACTGGGCTCGGCGGGCGGGGGTGGCCCTCAGCCCCCCTAAAAAGGAGGCGGCTCTTGCTCACCTGAGCCCACGCAGTGATGCAAGGATGGGATGCAATGGTGGGATGCAGGGATGCTCCGGTCTCGCTCAGCTCCTGCCCCTCTGGCTGCCAGCAGCAAACTGAGCCCAGAGCCAGCAGGAGCCTCATATAGAGGGTGAGGAAGAGGAAGAGCCACCCCGTTAACCCCTGCCAGCCCAGCTCCATCAGCAGGAGCCCACCCCGTGCCCACCCTGCCAGCACGACCCCCCTGCCCCAACCGCAGCCTTCACACCCCAGAGCCCTGCCCCTGCCCAGCCAGCATTAACCCTCCTTCTCCAGCAGCCCCAGCTCACCTCTGCCAGCTCTCCTCCTCCCTCCTCCTCCTCCTTACAGGAGCCTGGCTGGGATTTCGGGATCCACAGCGGAGATCTCTGCCTCTTCCCAGGCAGGACTGAGTCTCTCCGTGCCCCCAGCACACGGGGCATCAGGAACAGAACAGGGAAACCATGTCCACTCTGGCAGCTTCTCCTTCAATATCCACCCCAAGATGCCGGGTGCAGCTCAGGAGCAGGAGCCCACCACAATCCCCTTCCCCAGGATCCTGCCCCAGCCGGCGAGGGATAAGGAAGGAGGAAGGGTCCTTCTGGCACCTTCTCCACTGGTGGCGAAAGGGTCAAAGCCAGCCCTGAGCCAGGCCAGTTCCTGCCTCCTCTTCCCCCCCGGGAAGGGCTGTAAATTGCAGGAAGCCACCACGGGCTGGAGCCGGCCCAGGGGTTATTTTTATCACTGCCCTCTCCCCTTCCCGAAGGCTGCCTCCCACGGGGACAGCCCCTGGCCCCTCTCCATCCCCAGCACCTGCCCGGGCGGCTGCGAAGGTGGCACTGCAGCGGCCAGTGGGGAAGGACATGCTGCACCCTAAGTTCAGGTCCCAGCCCCTCGGAGCGGGACTGGAAAAGCCCCCAGTGCTCCCCAGGAACCCGCCAGCTCCCTCCATCCCTCTCCCAGCCGGAGGGGACCAGCCGCTCCCTCCCTCCCTCCTCATCTCCTCTGGATGGAGAGCTGGGGCACAGCCCAGCCCAGGCTGCTTGCAGGGACTGATGGGACCAGGAGTCTCCAGTGGGGACAAAGCCATGGCATTCGGCCCGGGACCCGCAGGCCAGGGCGCTCTGGCCCTGGACGAGAGGGGACCCGGCCAGAGCGCTGCTGGCCCCCACCCCAGTTCCTTCCTGCAATGCCGCTGCTGGGGAGCCAGTGCCGGGAACCAGGGGCCAGGTCGGCGTCCAGCACCTCCCTGTGCGACGGCACTGGTGCCAGGAAGGGGTTGGAGCCAGTACCCCTGGGCTGACGAAAACGGAGGCTAAAACGGAGGCTGAGAGCGGCCAGGGCTTGTCCGAGCTCTGCCAGCACCGGAAAAAATCCCAGTGAAAGTGAGGAAGGAACAAACCACCTATTCTATTCTAATAAACCTGGAGAGGAGCAACGCAGGCAGCTGTGCTCCCAGCAGCACTCGGGCTCTGTGTGCAGCACGCGGCCGTGCCAGAGCAAACCCGACCGTCTCCAGAGGAAGATGGGGGAAAAGGATGGGGGCAAGTGACAGAGAAACCCGTGGCAGCCCTGGGATCTGCCCCCGGGAAGGAAATGGCTGGGTTCCCAGCCGACAGGACCCTATCTTTAACTCCAGGCAACATGAATCACTGTTTATTAGGACAGATTTTATTTTCCGAGCTGGAATCGCAGCAGCCGTTCCGGTAAAGCCACAAGTGAGTAAGAGCAGCCCTTGATTCACCTTTCTCTGGCTGATGCGGGGTGTTCCTGGGGGATGCTCCTACCCTGAAGCGAGGCAGACAGAGAAGCCGTCCTCTCTGGCTCCTCCTTGGAGCACCCGCCAGGCACTTACTGCTGAACTGTTATATTTGGACAAGGCAGATTCCCTTTGGGATACAAAAAGGGATGGTGTGAGGTGCCCTTCCTGGCATCGGCACCCCAGGCAGCTCCCGCTGCCCCTGGGGAGGTGATGGGGGTTTTGTCACTTTGACTTCTAGGATGGGATTTACCCAATTAAGCAGCCTCTTGTGAAGCCGGTGGCTTCAGCACCAGGTGGCTTTTCTTAGTCACATGGATGCTCAAAGTCCCTTGTTTTCATTTAAGGTTACTCGGAGCTCTCGCAAGGCGCTCTCTGCTCTTTGATGGGGCTCTGCTTCCCTCCCCTCCCGGCTCACCGGGAAGCGAGCACGGTGCCAGGCAAGCGAAGCAATCCCGGGCAAAACCCAGCCACGGCTCCAGACACCTTCTAAGAGCCTGCTTCTGCCAAGCAGCAAAATCACATAAGATCTCTGAGAACTGCTAGTCCAGATCTGACCCGCTCAACCCAAGCTCCCGAGAGCAGCCAGCACCAGATACCTAAGGACAGAAAGTGCAAGAAAGGGGGTGTTTGGAGAGCAAAACCTCTGCCAGCCGTCTCGGGTCTGGGGCCAGGTATGGGAAACTTCCAGCCCTCGTGGTGGGAGAGAAAAGCCTAAGAAAGTCCTCAAAGGTCACGAGTCCCAGGGCACAGATCCTCCTTCCGCCACCATTTTTCAGAGCATGTCTAGCCCCTGATTAAACAGCCCTGCTCCCCGCAAGCTCTCCTCCCTCCCAGCTCGTGGTAAGGGGGACAGGGCCCTCTCAGCCCTGCTAATTACGTCCCCACCTCATAACCTACACATCGGGCTTGAGGAGCAGCGGCAGAGTAGCACGGCCAGCGCAGGGCTCCCAGCGCTACTACTCCGATGGATCCGGGCGAGCAGGCAGGGGAAGCCAGAGGCTGCCATGCCCACAGGCAGCAGGAGGGCTGAAGCCGACCGTGTCCCATTCAGTCCTTTCCAGATGCATATCTCCTTTAAAAATAAATAAAAATTTTTATTTTTTTTTTTTAAATCACTTTAACCCCACCATGACCAGGTGCAGACAGGACTGCAGCACCTGATAACACAGCCATCCGTCTCTACTTGCTGGTTTACTTTCACAACCCACAAAAGCCCTTTCTGGTCTGAGGTCCATGCAAATGCCACCGCCTGGAGAGCAGCCCACGGGAGCCGGGTGGCTGCAAGCCAGAGCGGGCTCAGGACGCAGACGCTTTCCTTCGGGAGAAGGCAGGAGTGGAAGGCTTGCTATACAAGTTTAAAAATATCAAGGGCTCAAATAGGCATGAATAAATCTGAAACCACCACCTAATCTAAGGCAGCCACCCACAAGTTTGTGCAAGTAGGAACTAGACAGCAGCTGGGCCCAGGAGAAGACACCGAGGCTCCCGTGGACGTTCATCCCCCCCAATGGGGGCTTCAAAACCCCCGGCAGGTGGTAGCTGGCCTCGCTGACTTCTGCCGGCTCTCCCGCCCGCATCTGCGAAGCAAATGAGGTCAGCGCTGGGACAGACAGGAAAGGCAGAGAGAGATGGAAGGAGCTACCGGGACTGAGGGAAGCCTCCCCAGGGTCAACGATGAGCATCAGGGCTGCACCCACCACCTGCTGCAAGGGACCTGCAAAGGTTTTTAGGTTGCGTCTCTTTTCATCTCAAATCCCAGAGATTAAAGAGGCCTCCGAGCAATTGCAATTCTAGCAGCAGTTCTCCCTTCGCCCTCTTCGGGAGAACGCAAAGCAAGCCAGCCGCGTCCTCCAGCGCCCCAGCCCAGCCCGCTTCACCTGGTGGAGTGTGGGACGGGAGCTGGGGGCGTGGGGCCGCCCCAAAGAGAGCGGCCACAGCTCCAACCACCACCTGCCAGCTCAGCCCCTGCACAGGCCCTGGCTGCTCCTTACGAACTGCAGCCCTTACGCAACCGCTTTCTGCTTCGGGCACCCAAATAATCTTGGAAATTCGTTTGGGGACAAAGGGATTTAACAAGAACATGGTCTGGGCTGCGGCTCCTCTCGCAGCGATGCAGGGGCGGTGCTGGCTCATCCTTCAGGTCACCCGACTTCTCCATGCTGCGCTTGCTCTGCTTGCAAGAGCGTGCGGTCTCAGACTCCCCAAAAACGCTTACAGAGCTGGTCAACAGAGATCTGCAGCAGCTCAGTCTTGTATTTCCACCTCCCAGCCCGCCCCGAACAGCGTAGACGCTCTGGACGGTTTGTGGCACTTCAGATACGTCCCTCTTCATTGCACTTAAGAACAGAAATTGCACTTTGCATGAACTGCTCCCCAGCCCCTCAGACCGAAAGGGAAATGAAAGTCAGTGCTCAGCAGTGCCCATTAAAGAGAGTTTGTGTTTAAATACTCCTGACTAGTTCTCCGTGGGACAGCTCCTTGTGTTCACACGCAGGCCAGCAGTAAATATTAAAAACACTTTGCGATAGGATATCCCATAGAAGGATTCACGGGCCATCGGCGGAGCAAAGGGTAAGGCAACGCAAAAAGTTGGACGTTCATGGTGCCCGCGGTCCAAAGGCCATGCGAGCACATCTGCTCAGCCAGCCACCGCGCAGGGGGGGGGAACAGGGGGGGGGAAGTTGTTTCTCTGAAGCGAAGGCACCCTTCCAAGGGGCGGGCAGGCGGCTGCAGGCTCCCCGAGACAGGGCTTTATCTCGACCGCAAAGCAACGTCTGCCATCACGCTGCAGTTTGCGCAGGGGCCGCGATTGGCTGGCGCAAAGGTGAACTCCGTTTAAACCAACACAAAGCGAAAATACAAACAAGGCGAGTTCTCAAACCCGGCGCTGGGGAGCGGGGATCGCCCAGCCAAGCCCTGCCCGAGGAAACAGGATGGGCAAGCTGGAGCCCGGGGGCCTCAGCATTCTGCAGAACAAGGAAAATAAAGCAGAGGTTGGGTTATTCGAGTTGAGATGCAGCCTTAGTTACAGCTAATTTCTGCACCAGGGCCTTTCCTTGCAGATTCTGCCCCCCCCCTCCATGGACTAGAAATATTTCCAGTACGTAGGCTTAGTTTTCTTCATTTTGTGGGGGAGGAATTTAGCTTGTGTCTGTATTTAAAACCACCACTCTTACAACTAATCAAAGAGGTGTGACTTTCTCCTTTAATTAAGGTGCTTATCCTTTAATAAAAAAAAAATCTAAATTTCAATCCCTCTCTCTCTCTTTTGCAACGACGGCACTGACTGAAGGACTCAACCACACAGCTCCCGCCAGGTGGGGAATCTGCCTATTTCTGGCACCAGGATACGCAGGAAACCACAGGCGACGATGCAAGCGCACGGCCCACAGGAGATGACTGGGCTTGGTTTTGTTGCGAGGGTAACAAATGGCAAGACAAAACAGTTTACGGCATTTCCAGTTATTCCCACTCCCAGTCTGCACAGCCCTTTGTTCCAGAGCACTGTTAATTAAGACATGCAAATGGCTCCTAGACTCTTGTACCACGTATAAGTAAAGGTGTTGCCCCACCTTTATTTCTAAGGTTTCTCAGGGCACGCGAGACCAGCAGGCCACCATCCCTCACAAACCTCCAGAAGACCATTTACACCTGGTTCAGCCCCAGGAGCTGCCCCCCGAGGGCCTGCAGGCGCCTGCTCCCTCCACCAGCTCCAGAGGAAGCCAGCAGCCCGCTCGGCCCGCGTACGCGGGAGGGAAACACAGCAGAGCACACCCTCACCGGGCTGCCTTCAGCCCTCTGCACAGGGGCTCGCAGTGCGCTCGGGGGGGAAACGGGGTTCACCCACAGAACGAGGGCTGGTGGCTTTCTGGGTGAAATCCTACTCCAGCATAGGCAGGAACTAGAGGGGGGAAAGGCTCAAAAAAAGGCAGCATCTCTTTGCAGCTTCAAAAATCCAGTAGTACCAGCAGCGGGGTAGGCAGATCCTGCCAGCGATTTCCTTACAGCCCAGGGTGGTACCCGCTTTGCTTGTAATAACAACTTCAAGTATGTACTGGATGCAAGAATGCTTTTTTTAGTCTTTAATCCCCTCTTTGAAAACAAAGCACACCCAGAAGAGCACTGTTTTGATTCTTACAGGGCTGGGCAGAAGCCGCAGGGTCCGCAGGGACATGGCTCACCTCAGCCGGTCCCAGAGACAGCTCTGTTTTCACACCCAGTTTGGCCTCGCTCTGCCAAGTCCTCCAGCAGCACGTTACACATCACTGGAAGTTTGGCACTGCCGCGACCCACAGAGGACGGGCAGCACAGCTATCAGCCGATCTAGCAGCTTTTACAAGCCTAGAATCACTTACGGTATGGCTGTGATGAAGTACTACAGCTTACTTCTGTCCTAGCACAGCGAATAAACCCTTCTGTAGCTTTGCTGACAGCTAGATGACATCGCGCTCACTGAGGAGAAAGCATTTCTCTGTAGAAAGTTCAAAAACCTCATCGAAATTCAGATTTTATTTCAAAAACAGTCATGAACTTAATAAATTACACAATAATTTTCCTCATTATAAATTCTCCATAAAATATATTTTACAGTTTTTAAAGAAAGATTTGAAAAAAAAATCTAAGTGCTGAAAAGTATCTTGACTTTGTGTCATGCTGGTGAATAACTCTGTAGCTGCTACAACAATTTGATTTATCAAAGGCTTTAAAACAAAGACCTCAGACAACAACAACAACAAAAATCAAACGGAACACAGAGCTCAAGGACTACCATTCAGTGTTAACCAAGGAAACACTCAGTGTCACCCAACAGCAAGGCTAAGCACCATGAGAGGGATTTCGGGTACCCCCACCCTTTAAAGTGGCAATCAGTGCAAAGAGACACTTTGGGAGTCAAAAAAACCAACACCACCCCCCCAAAAAAAACCCCACAACTTTCCCGTGCCATTCACTGGCACTCGTTTCTGCACGGCAGGCAGGCAGCACATTTGGTGTTCATCCTTTGAAATACTTCAGAGAAGAATCAGGTGATTTGCAAAGCGCCTTAAAGGTAAGTAGTATTATTCTGTAGTAGATTCACACTTTAAGATAACATAGTTGATTCTGACTTTTGGGTGGGCAGGAGAGAAGAAGAGGAAGTTAATGTATTTTTAAAAAGCTCTCAATTTTAACACGGAAAAATTATATCACCTCTTAAAACTTTACTCATTGAATGACCATGCTGAAACGTAAGTACTGTGAAGCAGCGCTGGCACAGACAGCGAGAGGTTTGTTTTCTTCCTTTCAGTAACAAGCTGAGGCTTCAGTTGTACTGAACTCAGTTAAGATATGAGGAAAAAAAAACCCGGACCTCCACTTCTAGAACATAAGAATAAATAGATTTCTCCTTATCGTTACTCACAGATAGGCTCCCAGTCTTCTTTTACAGACTAAGCTCTCTGCAGGGAAGGAGCGACACTGGGACATCTACGCAGGCAACAGGCTGTGTCCTCGGTGCGATGCAGTCGCCTCCGTCCCTGCCAATCTACACTGAAGCGAAGGCGCTCTGCCGTATACTCAAAAGTTACTTCTATAGCATCTTCTGAACAATAAACATTGTTTTGAGACAGCAAAGTGTACTTGCCTGAGAATCCCTGTTTAGACAACTTGCCTGAAACGATAAAGTGAAGCAAAATAACAAGAATTAAAGTCTAAGGCCCCCTGGGTAACTGCCACCAGCTCTACACAGCACCAGGTAAGAACCAGCTGTAGCCCGTAAAGCCTCAGGAGTTTGGTAGAATCAGAATCCTTTGCTTTTAGAGGAACAAAAAAAATTGTATTTTGTTTGTGCTGTTTATTCACACTCGGGCAGAATAAAGACTGACTGATCAGAACTGCTCTCGCAGCACTAAGAGGCAATAGCATCCGAGACGCAAGTTACACAAGGGAATACGTATGGCAGTTCTCAGGTAAGACTTGGGAAAAAACATTAAATTCCATTTTAGTAAGAAAACCGGCCTTTGTTGCAGCTTTAATATATCTGCCTTTAAAGGCAATTTTTTTTAAGACTCTACTTTTTCCAAAAGGTCAGGTTGGTGAGAATTTGGTCACGGTCCTGCACCCAAAAGAACAAAGTGTTACACTATTACAAAGCAGCTTCTGACTGCCCTACAGCGTCAGGTGGCCTTCCTGAAACCTCTCTCAGCGTATCAATCTGCTTCTCTGGACTAAGAGCTGGGGATAAGCAGCCTTTCAACTACTTCAAGGCTTCCTATCCTACTGTCTGTGGTTTTAAATATTACTTCTTTAGAAGGAAGAAAAGAAAGAAATTAAAAAAAAAATCGGCCAAGGTTGCCACACAAATCGGAGATACCTTTCACATACCGGCTACTGGGTGTTCTCCCATATTTGAGAATAGGTGTGTTCTACAAGACAAACAGTCAGCCCTTTATCTCCTCATCGCTACCAGGTCAGTCAGTGCTAGAAAGGAAGAGACTGTGACCAGTATTATTAGATTCAGTTAACGGGAAAACTGTGCTGCGACCATATTTTGAAGAATCTTAAAAATAACCCTCTATGCTGCTGGATTCCCTCATCCGCGTTTCCATAGACTGAGCTCACGTACTCTCCTATTTGAAGTACCCAAGGTGCTACTGGATTATAGATACAAGAGTAGAGAGCACATTGCAAAACTGTAGATTAACTGATTAATAGAGTATTTGATTACTAGAAGAAAGCAAAATCGAATGATTAATGAACTAGCCAAACATGCTGGCACCTGATTGCCTACATTTGTAATTTGACTCCCTCAGTGACAAGCTCATTAAGCTGTAAGTGCTAAGCTTGGCCATGTCAGCACTTCAAAAACTGCTGATCCACTTGCATTGCATTTTTTGTCTACAAAGTCACATCTCGGACCTTATCTTTGACGTCAGATAACAAAAATAAATAATAAAGTTATTCAGGCCTGGAGAAGAAGGAATGCTTCTCATCTATCTTCTTCACCTAGTTCTCTAGCAGACCCCAATCATTCAGACCCACAGCAAATAATTTAAGAAAAGTGGCATACACTCCCAGTCACTCGTATACATAAACATATACACAGAATTACTTTACAAAGCCTGAAGACTTGCACTACCAGCATGCAAATCTCTTCTTCCATGAGAGTTCCTAATACTGACA